CTTTAAATTGAGAGCTTACTCCATAGCGTCTCTTATCTTAACTAACAAGATAGTGCACTACACGCGCACAAGCACTATGCTCTACTTTTTACTATCACCTATCACTCAAACTAGTTCAAAAGGCTTTGTCCTCTTCAATCTTCTAGTTGACCAATTAGTATCGTGTAGCTGGATTTGTCTTAATATTATCGTGCCTATGAAGTCGTTGCTCATGTCTTGCCATCTTCTTGATGATTATGTCCACCGTTTCCATTCCTAGGTCCTTATGGAGGTCACTGTTTGTACAAGTTGACTTTATAAGAATAAAAAAAAAATATTTTCTAACCCCAGTTAAACTTTAATAAAAAAAAATTGTATATTCTGGAAATCTAATTCTCTCTGAATATAATAACAAACAAATTTCTGAAAATTGCAATATAAAATATTTTTTACTTCTTCTTCTTAAGGTGCCGTGCATTTCTGCGTAGGCGTCCACCGTACATCGTCTTGTCAGGTGAGATGTTAAATATTCTGGTTTAAATAATTCTGTTTTTAGCAGCATTGCGAAGCATTTCATAGCTGTGGATTCCTGTCCATTGTCGAATATTGCGCAGCCATGACATTTTTTTACGTCCGAGACCTCTCCTACCCTCTATTTTCCCTTCGAGAATCAGTTGCTGAAAACTGTATCGTTCTCCTCGTATAATGTGCCCCAAGTATGCAGTCTTCTTACTTTTTACATAATTAAAAAGTTCCCTATCCTGTAAGCCCGCTCTTCTGAGTACTTCCTCATTTCTGACCCTGTCCGTCCATGATATTCTGAGCATTCGACGCAGGCACCACATTTCAAACACTTCAAGTTTGTTAATGGAACTGGCCTTTAACGTCCATGCTTCCATTCCGTACAGGAGAACAGGCCACACGTAACATTTAAGCATCTTGTATCGGAGATTGAAGTCCAATTTGCGATCAGTCAGAAACTTACGAAGCCTCAAAAAAGCATTTCTGGCTTGTTCAACTCTGCTCTTTATTTCATTCTCGGGATCCCAACCCTCATTCAGCAAACATCCCAAGTATTTGAATTGCCTGACTTGTTCGATTTCTTCTCCAGAGACATATATCTTTGCGTTGGGGTAATCATTTCTACTTATAATCATTGATTTTATCTTCTTGATATTTATTTTCAAACCCCGAGCTTCACTTGCAAGAGTTAGATCATTTAAAAGGCATTGAAGATCTTCGATGTTATCTGCCACTATGGCTGTATCGTCGGCATACCTGATGTTATTAATAAATATGCCGTTAACTTTAATACCCTTATTAGAGTCCTCCACTGCTTCTGCAAAGACTTTTTCTACGTATAAATTGAACAGCATTGGGGACAGTATACAACCTTGCCTTACTCCTTTTTTAATGGAGAAATCTTCTGTTTCGTTGAAATTTTGAAGACGTACTGTTGCTGTCTGATTCCAATACAGATTGGCGATGATTCTTATATCCTTTGCATCCAATCCCAACTCTTGTAGGTATTTTATCATCAATTCATGTTTTACATTATCGAATGCTTTCTCGTAATCGATGAAACAGATAAAAACATCCTTTCTTTGATCTAAACAATTCTGTATCAATGTTTGCATACTAAAGATCGCTTCTCTCGTGCCAAGTCCATTTTTGAAACCAAACTGACTCCATCCACTGACCTCTTCACATTTCTTAAACAATCTAGTGTGAAGTATTCTCAGGAAAAGTTTTAAAAAGTGACTCATTAGGCTTATTAGTCGGTGGTCCTTGCAGAAGTTCGCACGTGGTGTTTTTGGTAGGGCAATAAATGTAGATCGAAGCCAATCTTTTGGAATCTGGCCCGTATCGTAGATGTCGTTAAAGAGCTTGACAATAATGTCTAGGTTTTCTTCATTAAGTAACTTGATTGTTTCTGCGTACATATCATCTGGTCCTAGAGTTTTGTTACTTTTTAATAGTTTGATAGCGTGTACAATTTCAGCTTTCAAAATACTTGGGCCATACAAATGGTCTCCCAGTTGTGGTGGTTTTTGTGTTCTGTCATCATTGAACAAATTGGCTGTGTACATTTTCCAAGTATTAAGTATATCGCTAGGGTCCGTTATTAATTCATTTTGGTCATTATGTATACCAGTGACTTGTTTTTTCTTGAAGACACCAGCAATTTCCTTAATTTTCTTGTGAAGATTGAAGCTGTCGCCAAGTTTATATAGGCTTTCAGCCTCGGCGCAAAGTGTAGTCATCCAGATCTCCTTCGCCGCTATAATTTCGTTACGAATTTGACTGTGTATATTTCGGTACCCTATTTTGTCCTGCCTGATCTTACACTGCCTGCGTTGTTCCATCATCTCTAATATTTCTTCTGTCATCCACTCATTCTTGGTAGTTGTTTTACTCTCGAGTAGAAAAGTGTTGTTCAACTCATCAAATGATTCTTTTATGGTGGTCCATGACTTTTCAACATCATTCTCAGTTGCCATATTAGAGAACCTATTGTTTATTTCCTCTGTGTACGCTTTATTTGTTTCATTGTTTTTGAGTTTTCTAATGTTTACTGATGCCTTCTGGTGTTTTCTTTTAGCTGTAGCGAGCCTCAGTTTGATATTTGCTACTAAGGAATTGTGGTCGGATCCTATGTCTGCTCCAGGTAATGCAGATACCTTAGTAAAAGCATTCCTGTACCTTCTATTAATTGTCACATAATCTATTTGGTTCCTTATAATGCCCTGATGTCGGTCTAAAGGCGACTTCCATGTGTAAAGCCTCCTGGGTGGTAAGTTATACCAAGTATTCGTTATGACTAGATCTTTGTCTTGACAGTACTGTATCAATCTGTCCCCTCTGTCGTTTCTCTGACCAAGACCATATTTTCCAACTACGTGATTTACAGCTCCTTCCCCAACTTTTGCGTTGAAGTCTCCTAATACGATGTTAATTTCGTGATTCTTAGTCACCTTTAAGGCTTCGTCTAGCTGTTGATAAAATCGCTCTAGTTCTTCTTCTGGCTTGTCTGCTGTAGGGGCGTAGACTTGTATAATATTTATGTTAACTTTTCCATGCAACTGAATAAGTATGACTCTTTCGGAGATCGGGACAAAGTTCTTCACGGAGATTCTTTTTACGAATTTACAAAAAGTATTGCAAAAGAGTTAGTAGTTGATACAACAAAATGAGTAAAAATCAGGAGTTTACACATCCAAGGGTTAGTAATTAACACTTAAATATCCGTTACCATAAATAATTCGAATTTTTCAATTGAAACATCAAAAACACTACGAGAATTTAATGTAGATGTTAACGTAAAAAAGTTCTCAGCATGTAGCGACACAGTTGTAGAACAAACCTAACAAAAAGATTAATGTGTTTACACAATATTACTGGTAATTAAAATTGCCTATAGATACATTTCTGCATTATTAATTAAGCACAAGCGAGACATTTAAAATAAATTCCATATTAAGATATAACTTAATTTACGTCATATTTTATTTACGTGTTTGTTTTCTAACCAGTCAATTTTATAGCCCAACTTATATAATTTACACAATATGCTATATAGGACTATTTGCATAACCCATGATGAATATATAATATATTTTTGCATTTGCAAATTCCTGTAACAGGTTGATGAGATAAATTATTTTAATTTTGAAACTTTATACGAGAACCAAAATTGCGCGTGGCACTTTGGCATATTTTATAGCTTTGGATTCATTCACATTTAGTTTATTATTACAGAAGTTTGATTATGTAATAGCAGCGTAATATAACTAATAGAAAATAAACACATGTAATCGTAATAGAACATTTTTGGTAATAGAAAACGAGCACTGATCGGTAGCAACTTTAATAAAGCTAAAATAAAGATAAACCTACAAATAATAAACATTGAACTTGAAATGTTATTTGCTATCTTTAATAGTTGGATAACTGAAGATCTAGATCCAGACATAGAGATACGTAGCAGGATTCAGCAAGCTAGAACAGCATTTACTAATATGAGAACTTTGCTAATCAACAGCAGCCTTAACTTAACGCTTCGATATCGCTTTGTAAAATGTTACATTTACTCCATACTGCTATATGGTGTAGAAACCTGGACCATAAAGGCCAATGTGATGAACCGATTGGAGGTCAGAGAATGAGAATTGCTGCCAATAATAAAAAGAAGAAAAACTGCTTATATGGGTCATATATTTTGAAATTCCAAGTACCAGTTCTTAAAGCTTATTATGGAAGGGAAGATAGAAGGAAAACAGGCATCGGAAGAACGAAATACTCATGGCTTAAAAACATAAGAGATTGGACAAACCTCGATGCACATGCACTCTTTAGAGCCACACAAGATCGAGAGGAGTATGCCAGAATTGTAGCCAACATCCACTAATTGGATAGGGCACCATAAGAAGAAGAATAGGAATTAATGTTTCAGTTAAATATACGTTTATTTTGAAGTTTCAATTTCTATTTCGGAAAATAGCTTCAACAAGAACAGAGATTTATCTTATTGACCAATGTTGTTGAGGAAATGGTGTTGAGAAAAATATAGGAAGAAAAATGTGTTGTGGTTTAAAGATAAAATGTAGGTTTGGTTGTATCTGTTTGAGGGAAAGTTGAATTGTATTTATGCAATTATTGTTCCTTGTTCCTATGATATTGCTATCATTTTGTTGTTTGTGTATCGTTTGTTTTTTAATTTATTGTCTAGCTTTGTATTTTTGAACGGTTTCTGCAGATCATTTTCATTTTTCCGAAATCGACTCGTCGTCAGTGTAATATAATCTGGATTTCTCTTTCTTCTATCTGCATCCTTTTATTTTATAAACTTACGGGCTCGGATGAATGTTCTTGTCTAATGCATGTTTCGTACTCGGTTGGTTTTGACAGTTCCTCTTTCAACTTTACCATCTCTAATTATAGTTTCTCCAAGTGTATAAACCACTTTATGCGGGTTTTTCGTACTCTAGCTGCATCACTCATTGGGTTAAGTGAGTAGCTTAATGTATGGTGTTGCCGGTGGTAAGTCGGAATAAAGGAGAAAGAAAAAAAATACTCACAAAATGGTCAAAGGACGTGTAAATTGCCTCGAATATACATACAATTGGAAACTAAAGATGACATGAACAATTGCTATATCAGAAGTTCTAATGATTCAAGCAATAGAGGCAGAAAAAATCACTTTACACACATATTAAGATATAAAAAGTATAGATTAAGATGGCTAAAGCTAAACCTAGAACTATGAATGATCCAATGGAAAGAATACAAAGAATATTGATACACGGCAAAGTAGGAGAATAACTATAAGTATGATTTGGTGTAATAGTTTTAAATTGGGGATTTAAAATATCAGGTTTAATGCTCGAATAAATGAACTTTGATCAAATAAAAGGCGGATATCAAGCACAGTTTTATTAATTAAATCTTGCCCAAATACTTTCGCTTCCTAAAGCATCTTCAGGGGCATTTCGTCCATTTTGGTCTATCCAACAATTATAGAATGTCATAAACATAAAATTGTCCAAATTTGTCTCGCTTAATAAGCTTCCTGAATTGGACTTTTTGGTTGTGGCTGAATTGGTTGAAGATCAAAGCAAGGGCTAATAGAATGAGAAACATCTATTTCGATGTACTCATAAAACGCCTTTGTTCTTCTTGAATGACTCTAAATTTCTACCATTAGCTGCTGGTGCACTTTTAATTTGTTTTTTGTGAAGGCAGTACGTACTATAAGTATCGGAGGCAGGTGACTTAAAACATATGTTAATATTTTACTTAGTTTACTAATACTTAACTCACTAATCAGATATAATCTTTTGGACTCCTATCTTCTGTAATGTGATTCAGTTCCTCTGAGCTTTCTTATGTACTCTCAACACTTTCCTTCTTCAGATAATTCTGATTATTTTTGGTAGAGTAACCTCTTCTTTTCTGTTCAACAGCAAACCCAAAATGCACTTTTTTGGCTGTTTTATTGTAGTTTCTCCAATACCAAAAACAGTACGAAAAAGCTTCAAATATACAGAACTTTTAGCACCAGAGACAGTCGGAAAAAAGTGTTGTATTGAGTACTCTCGCTCAGGTCCAGGTTTTTCTTTTTGTTGTTGTTTACCGACCTAGGCCTATGTCTTTTGATTTTATGTTGTACGAATCAGACTGGCAATTACATTGTCTTGTCTTTTCGTGTCTGGAATTTTATAAAACTCTTCTTTGTAAGCCTTGATGTAAATAGGTATTATTTTTACAAACGTGAAACGATTATTGTTGTGCTTAAACAGTACAAAAACTAGGGCTCTTTTAGGGGCTACACACCTGGTAATTTGTTCACTTTTCATTTTTATTCCTGTAACTCTTCACTTTCTAGTCCCTTCATTTCCTTCACCAACACTTACACTTCTATCTGCCCCATCCATCATCCTTTAAATACGAAAGTAATTACTAATTGTTTTTAAATAATTTGACAATAAACCTAACCTCAAATTTGTAAGACTCACGGGGTCACCTAAGTGGCAGTTGCAGAGCTCCTATTGGTTGGTTGGTTGGAAATAAGCTGGTTAGCATGGACCAGTATAGTCGAAATAAGTGGTTTTACGTAAAGGTGGTTTTTAACATGCACTCACCATGGGTAATATTTTTTTTCATGAATCAGATAAAATAAACCACTTTAACTACAACAGAACAATGCATTGGCACATCTAACACAACTTTGATTTGTGTGACTTAAGGCTGTTTGCATGTTATCTCCTCATTTTGAGAAACCTATTCAGAATAGACTAAACGCAAAAGAGTTTATTTAAATATGTTAAATAGTAAATTTATTTCCTATTAATTATAATATCATCTCACAGATTAATTAAAGGATATCATAAATGTCTTTCTTAGGACATACTCCGTCGTAGCAAGAAGATATATTGTAGTTTTTTGTATCGAATAATATTCAATTGAGTTCAATAATTGATATATTCTCACATTTACCTCTATATGTTATACAGTTAGAATGATTTATTAATACCAATACTAAAAAGAGAACAGACTAGTTTTAGTAATTGAATTGCTAATTTTAATAGAAAGTAGCAAAGAAGTGAAATACAAACAATTTTAAATACTTTTACAGAAATTTACTGCCTGAACATAATTTAATTTGAAATTTTAATAGTAATAAAATATGCGTAATAAGGACAAATATTAGTTCAGATTCCTTTCAAAATTACAATTATATCCATATTTGTATATATACTCTCTTAGGAATTTTATATGAATTAACGGAAAGTGATCATTTATCAATTTTGGAATGTTAAATGGTACTGAGTTGAGTATATGTATATATAGTTTAACTTAAAGTAAACCTACTACAAATACTTTTCGCTCCCAAAAGGGCACTTCCTTTCTCCAAAGGGCACTAGATGGCGCCTGATCTGGTGCCCTTTGGAAAAAAGGACAGAGAAGTCTTGCTACGAAGGGAAATATTCTTCATTCCGTCTTACCAACATATCTGCCTGAAGAGCTACAAAATAGCGAAACAAGTGTTACAGAATAGCATGTTTGACGGGATGTGAATATTCCTATTCACATCCCGTCAGTGTTGTTTATTATTACATCTTGGACATTCACTAGCTTATTGTACTTGGTTTTTTGTTAAGTTAATTTTTTTATGCCAACTTCATTGCTAGCTGCATTTAGGTCGTTAATGTTCTTGTTGTTCTACACTATTGTTCACGTCAGAAAAATGCCCTCTGCAAATTTTAGATTACTGGGGTATTATCCATCAATGGATAGGTTATTCCATGTTCATTTTACTGAATATATTTTCTAGGGTTGCGTCTACTTGTAGGACGCCTCTGGAAGTGGGAAATTCTGGAGTGTTTTCATAAATTTTTCTGTAGCTTTTGCATTTCTGTTTTTATATATTAGCTAGTCTCTATGTCTGGTTTTTCAATGTCTTGGTTGGTTAAAACTTCCTTTACTGCCTTGGGAGATATAGAATCTAAAGTCTTGTCGATGTGTATGAAGGTTAAGGCTAGTGGTATTCCATACTCTTTAGCTCTACTCATTAGTTCTCGAAACGTATGGATATCATCAAAGGTGCTGAATCCTTTTCTGAAGCCAGCTTGCTCTCTTGTCTGTGCATTTTGTTCTTAGGCAGTTCGTAAATATACATGCTAAGATTTTTCAGGTTTTATGTCAGTGTATTTAAACAGTTCTACTCTTATGCTATCTATTCCCGCTGTTTTATTGTGATTTATTTTTTCTGATTGTGTATTCTACTTCTCCCGGAAGGACTTCTGGTACATTTTCTTACCTACTGGTTGCTTATTTGAGTGTGTCAGGGGATTTGTGTAGATCGCTGTCGAATTGAGTCAGGAATGGTATTATTTCATTTCTCTCTGTACTCCTGGTGTTTTCGTTTGTTGGAGTAACGATTTGCTTCTTCTCAATGATTGTTTCTTTTCTGGTTTTCTTATAGTTTTTCCTGTTTTCGGTTGCATTTTCTACCAGTCTCCCATTGTATCTTCTTATGTCCCCCTAATAGTTTTCCTTATTGTCTTACACCGTTCTCTGTATTCTCTGTATGTTGCTACTTACTTTTATTTCCCCTATTTGCTTTAACAGCGTGTTGATTTTATCTGACAGTTTCCTATGTTCATTTTTTTGTTGCGGTTTTCCATTTCTTTAGCACCATCAAGGATGATTTCCATTCATTGTGAGTTATTGATTTGGTCACGTAATCTTTCATCGATGGTTATTTGGTAGTAATATGAGTTTTCTTTTAGATTATTGGTACTGATATGGTTTTGTGATTTATCTTATTCTTTGTAGTTTTAGATCTATCTATAACAATTTTTGATCTGATTAGTCTATGATCGCTGCCTGTTTGAAATTTATTAATTAAACTGATTATCTTTTATTGTAGCAATATTGTTGGTTAGAATGAAGTCAATTTCATTCTTAGTGGTTCCATTTGGTGTTATCCATCCATCTTCTATTTTAGTTTTCTTGAAGAATGTATTTTTAATGGACATGATTTTGTAGGTCTTTCCAGAACCAGTCTTTCTCCCGTTTTATTTCTTTCATCGACTCGCTACATATTTTCCCATGACTTTTTCCTTGCCATTTCTTTTTCACACTTTGGCATTAAAATCCTCATTTATATGCAGAAAGTGATTTTATTGTTGTTAATGCTTGAGTTACATTACTGTAGAGTTCTTCTATTTCTTCGTCATAGTGGGTAATCGCTGGAGCGTATATTTGTGTAATTTGTATATTATATCTCTTTGATAGTTAAAGGGTTAAGCTAGCTACTTTGTCTAAGATACTAGTTATTTCTACTACTCTTGGTTATTGCTTTCATTTCTGCTTGATTAGGAATCCAATACCGTTTGTTTTGCCTGCCGTTGATGTTCTCAGTAGCAGAATGTGTTCCCTGACGCTAATTTCAATAGTCCTTCATCTTTTCGTCTTATTTTGCAGATTCCTATGACGTCCCAAATTATTGTATAAAATATATACTTACTAATATATATTAAAATATATATTATATAAAATATTGAAAAAAGTATAGATTTTTATTAACAAATTGAGGAATGAATATTGGATACGTATATGGTCAGCTAGACGGATTGGACGATTGCCTTGAAGCAGAAATTACAACACCTTATTAAATATAATTTTTTATTTGTCGCTTTGTATAGTATTTGTAGACTCTAAAATATAAACATGTTCTTTGACAGAAGACGTAAATCATACCTTCGGCCCTTTAGACGGAAGCATCTACGCTACGATCGCAAAAAAGCCGGAATTGTCACCGGGAGCTGTTTCTAGTCCATTGACGGTGTCGATGGACAGTGGCATATCATCAGCAGGTAAGTCTTCATAAAAGACTACTAGTTAATTGCATGCAAGCATATTTGGAAGCTTAATTTTATTGATTCTTATGAGTAATAAACTAAGTTATTAACTAAACTATAAATGTAACTAAAACGATTCTAAACCCAAGAATCCAAAACACTCATCTAATTCATTTTTAACTAGGACTGCTGTTTACTGAAAAGTACGTAATCCACAGAATCTTTCACAAATGTCGAATCAAAATCATATGTAACTGAAATTAGGAAACATTTGTCATAGTCAGGACAAAAAGCATAAGCAAAATTAAAACTATTAAATATTCCAACCAAAATTTCAATTTTATTGCAAAAAAATTTCAGGAAGAAAACGCCGCACAGTCCTAACACAAAACGACCCAACTTACAAAAAAGGTTAATGAGTTTTGGTACATGGAATGCACAAAGTATTCGACCTAAGTTGGATGAGGTGTTGAAAGAAATTAGGAGATTTAAATTAGATGTAATAGTCCCTACAGAAACCAAAAAAGAAAGTGAAAGAGACAGATAAAGTGAAAGATTTTGTTTATTTCTATAGTAGAGTAGGAAAAAAAAGAAAAGCAGCAGCAGGTGTAAGTATACTGATAAAGAAAAGGCTGTCACGCAATATTAGGAACGGGGAACAAATAAATGAAAAGCTAGTAAAAGGTTGAGATGAAGCTGAAAGGACCTGACTTAGTAGAAGTGGACGCAAATGCCTCGTCTGAAGATGAAAAGGACGAGGTAAAAGATAAATTTTACGACGAACTGACGGACTTGGTAGAGTGTTTTGGAAGTAGGAAGGAAGTAGTTCTACTAGGTGACTTATGTGCTAGAACAGGAAGAAAATTAAACAGCAAAGTGAATTTGAAGACGAAAAAATGAATAAAAACAGTGAAAGATTATTTCGTTTCTGCGATTGTATGAATTAAAAGATGATGAATGGATACTAGCACCACAAGGATATTCATAAATTTACATGGACTATATAAAGACCCTCATAATACTTATTGTCACGAATGATTCTGAAACATAGATTCTTTTGAAGACAGAAGAAGATGTAGCAAGGGTGTAGAAGAAGAAAGGAGTACAATTGTTGAACAGAGGAAATATAGAGCTAGACCAGAAAGATGAAGCAGCCATTTTTTTTTGTAACATAGGATCAATAGCTCATTTTCTCCTGATCGTCCACGATATAACGGTTTTTTGCTCTGAATTCTTTCTATATACATGCATTTGCTTAAAAATTTTGACAGTAGATAAAAAATGGCTTTAACCTCCTCAGTCTTAGGAAATTTTTTGTTTTTTAATTACTATATTTCGGTGTGTTTTATGTTACATTAGGCATCAAGATAAGAAAAAATAATAATAAAATTTTTTTATGGCAGCCATCTTTAAAATCCAATGTCTCATATGGCCGACATTGAGTTTCAAGATAATCAAACATTCTCAAAAGCAATTTGTGTTTTATGACTAACATATGAATACATTGGAAATAAATACACAACATTAGTTATGTAATTTATTAAGTAATAAAATATGATAAAAAATTTTTGGTAGATAATGCACTGGTGTCATTTCATTCACAACCTTGATGCTGTTTCGGTTTTCTTGGAGGCAGAGAAACACCTGACATGTAGAACATAGATTCTGGCTAAGTTGACGCACTGGTCATAGTTCATTGTATAGCTTGAAGGAGTTTCTGTTTTCTTGGATGCACAGGAATACCTGGCATGTAGAACACCTGAGTCTGGCTGAGTTGGCAGAACATCCTGGCATTCGGCGTCTATTCTTCTTGGCTGGGGTTGAGATTTCTGGTAAATGCAAAGTGCGCTTTTTACTGAGCAAGTCTGGAGGGTGAGATACCCTGGGTTGCTTCCGAGGAGGGGACAAGGAACACTCATAATCTGGTTCACTATCCTCCGAGCTCTCCTGATCACCATGGGCTAGGAAATATGCATACTCTTTTTTAAAACTGAAGAGATGCATAATATCTTTTCTGTGGGTTCCTAAAAGTCGCTGATCTCGTCGGTATTCGATCCATGATGCTGAAATTGCGAAGTCAAACATATGCATGATAACTCTGACTGTCCATTTCCTAGTTCGCGCAAATATACATATCAGAGTAAGTATATAACTATCAGAGGCCTGTTGACTTCAATGAACCTCTTTTGTATTTTACACCATCTTCTACACTTATCGACAGGTTGTGAGTCCTCTCTATTTGACATTAAAATTATGGCTTTATTATCAAACCATTTTACAACAGACACTTGCCCGTCTGATCTTATACTCTCATCAATTGCCCCCCTACCTTCTTTTTTCAAATCAGTATCACTTCTTAGTTTAGAGTTCTTGCGTTTCTTGTTTGTTTCAAAGTGCCAGTACCTGTAGCTTCTCTTTCTGAATGAAATAAATCTAAAAGATATTCAGAATTAAAATATCTATCCATATAAACTGAAACTGAAAAAATCCTGTGGCAGTCCATCTGCAGCGGCTACGACAAAATTTTTCAACCCACATAGGTTGGGCTTTGTTTTGATTACTTCTCTGGCTGGACAATGCCCCCAGAAAGGAATCATTTATTCGTCTATAGCTACTACTTGAGGCTTTGGATTTAACTGACCTGATCAGAGGTTCTATTTTCCAAAACTTGTTTGTGTTCTTTTCTTCATCCGTTACGTCACCATCATACACAACCTTCAGATTCTTTCGCGTAGAAAAATATTTATACTTTTGCATGAGGTTACTTATACATTCTGCTTTGGTTTTTCGGGCCTAATACATCCTACTCCGAGGATATCTCATAATAGACACCATCAAACTTGCCGAAAAAAACTTTTTTACATCTTCCACACCATCCAAAAGAACTTTCCCAGTTTTTTCCACATACGTTCTGTTTGACTGTTCTAAAATAGGTGGAAGATTTACAGCATTTATTTCTAAAGGAAAATTATCTGGTGTTGGAAAGCATTGTTCAAAATCTGAGTTTTTTTCCAGAAGTATCTTTCACTGCTACTCACGGCTTGTGTAACTGGAGTGTTGTCTTCGCCAGCAGTGCTATTAGACGCCGTCCTGTTTAAAATAGTTGAGGTACCATTCGATATCGTTTCTTCCTCTTCTTCGTCAATTAACCTAATATCAGTGGCCTCCTGCTGTGGTAGCCATGTTGGATCTGCATCCAAGTTATCATCGCTGATGTCCACTTCACTGTTATTTCCATCAAAACGGTCGTCGACATATTCTTGAACCCGCTTAGAATCTGTAAAAAACCATACGCAAATAGTACAACGCATACGCATATTACGAATTTAAAAATATTTAGTTTTTCATTTCTAACTGTAAACTTGGTTTACAAGAAGTATTCCAGGTTTCGAATAGCATATAAAAATATTTGTTATAAAAAATTAATCGGCCTAATAGTTTTTATTAGTATTCACTTTAAAATGTTACCAGGATGTCACAGATTTGAAGAAAAAAATTCTAATTGTATATTTTAATAATCAAATCCAAACAATAAAAAAATATATCTAAAATCCCAATGTCTCCGTCAGACGACATAACCGTTTCCTTGGTAACAGCTTGAAAAATATGGACGGAAGGATAATTATCTATTTACAGATAAAAAGATAAGTAAACTTTGATGGTACATAAGGCAAATATCGAACACAGTAGTTAATCAAATCTTGCCCAAGTACTTTCGATCACAAGATCATCCTCAGGGGCATTTCGTCAGTTGTGGCCTATCCAGCAGTAATAGAATGTTATAAATGTAAATTGGGACATAACAAATACACTAAACAAAGACAAACAAACACTTTAAAATTTAAGAAATGGAGAAGCTACATTTTATATAGAAGCCGGAGACAGAGATACGGTTCTGTCTCCGGCTTCTATATAAAATGTAGCTTCTCCATTTCTTAAATTTTAAAGTGTTTGTTTGTCTTTGTTTAGTGTATTTGTTATGTCCCAATTTACATTTATAACATTCTATTACTGCTGGATAGGCCACAACTGACGAAATGCCCCTGAGGATGATCTTGTGATCGAAAGTACTTGGGCAAGATTTGATTAACTACTGTGTTCGGTATTTGCCTTGTGTACCATCAAAGTTCATTTATTCGAACATTCAACCTTATATTGAAAAAGATTATTATTAAAGATTAAAAGATTCAGTCATCGAATTTTATGCTAAGTAAAAAACAGAAAAAATACCTTGAACATCGGACAAGAGATGGTCGGGACAGTCCGCCATTTTTATTTCTCCTTCATAGTCGTCAAATGCGAATGAATGAACTAAAAACTCACTCTAGCAGGCTTTCTACTGGCTTTCCAGCCAACTACTTTTCAAGGCTGCCAACTTAAACTGACATCCCAGAAAAAATTCCTAAACAAAACATGTTTTGTGTCACGTGTAGACGACGCCGACGCTGGGCTAAGGAGGTTAAGTTTAAAATCTACCCTATGCCAATACCTGCTTTTCCTCTGGGTGTGGTTACCATTATAACTCGGAGAAGAAAATATTTATCATAAAAAGATTTTAATCTAATCTAATCTTTGAGAAACATTTTAAGACAAAAATGTTCTTTAGAGTTTATTCAGAAAGTCAATATTTTTTTAGTTATTCATGACTGAAAGTTTACAAATTACAGGGCAAAAAATCATGTGTTTAAACGGTTTTTCGCGAATAACTTCAAAAATTTACATTTTATCGGGAAAATTGTTAGAATATGAAATGAAGCTTATGCAACAAAATTATTCGTTTTTTTTTTATTGATGTAAACTAAATATTAACAAAGTCATGGCTGTTCGAAAGTATTCATCGATAACAAAAATGCAAACATAAATAATGTTATGTTTTATGGAAAACTTTTAGGAATTTTTATAATAATCTGAAACAACCATGTAAATGACCACTGGTAAAACTGATCTGCATGAAAATTAAGGTACATAAGTTATAACTAAAATACAGAATCCTGTGGATTCAGGAATTGTCATAA